TCTGTAAGACAGAGCTAACCTTCCATCCTGTTTCTGATGGCAAATGGGACATTTCTGGGAGAGCATTTACACAGTATGAAAATAGTAACATCCACCGAATATTGGCTACTGCTGCTACTGTTCTAATCAAATAAAGGTCTTCTCATTATTACGAATGCTCCTAACAATGCCTGGCACACAGTAAACATCAGGAAATGTTTTTTTGCTCTTTCTCCTTTCTTGAAAGCAAGTGGAACACCCCCCACCCCTTTTCTGAGGTTGGAAAGAGCAAAAAATCCTTGGTCCCTACTGTGTATGTGAACTTGGCTAGCAGAATTACACCTTGACTAAAGAGCAAAAGCAGAGTTATAAAGAGAATAAACATGTGTCTCTCGGCGCCACTCACATGACCCACAGCGGGATATTTTTCTGTGAATGACCTCAGACCTTCTGATGGGTTTGGGCAGCCCCATGACCCACTTGCCCACAAACATGATACCAACTGTCGTGGCTGAATTTGTGTGAGGACACGGTTGCCTGGGTAGCACCCTGTCTAGTCCTGTGTGAGATGAGGTGGTGACAGATTACATTAAGAAATAGCACACAGTGTCCCCCAGTCTCTCCCCCTGCTCTGCCCACCCCAGTCTCACCGTGCCTGTTCCCTGCTAGCATCACATGTTTGTTGAATGAATGAAGAAATGTACATGGTGGCTCATTATAGAAGAGTCGTTATCAAACTTTTCCAGTGCAGCTCCATTAAATGTGTGAATATAGGCCTGAGTGTGCCACTTCCTGCACACCTATTCAAGGATTCGCAAACCGGTCCTGCTATTCCTTTACTGCATGCCATGCATGCCGAGAGTTTCCCTTCTGTTCTCATTCTCTCTCTCTTTCTGTTTAAAGAAAATGAAAGCTACAAGGGAATTGATTTCACTACCCCAACTAACGTATCGTGACCTGCAATTTAAAAACACAGTTGCAGAATAATCTGGCAGAGAGAAAGTTTGTTCTTTGCAATTGGGTGAGCTCCTTGAAGGATCTTCGGAGTCTGTCCCAGATTGTGGATGCTGATTCTCAGAGACTGAGAAAATAGGAGATGAAGGGAATCAGCAGCGAAGCATTACAGCGACCTGAAGATTAGCTCCATCTAATGTGTGTTTAGTTTCTCGTGGCCAAGGTGAGGATGTAGAACCCTAATGCAGGCTTAGATGTCTGGGCAGTTACTGTTTGAGAAAGGTTTGATTTAGTCACATGAGCATTGAAACTGTGTTGAGATTTGCAAGGGTCACCTTCAAGGAAATGCCAGAATCCTGGGCTCCAGGTGTCCCCACATGCACAAGCCTTGGCGTCTGGAGGAAGTGCGAGGACACCGACTGTTGGGTGCCTCCCCTCCCCTGCAGTGGCCGTGCTGAAGTGTGCTCCTGCTGGCTGTTCACCCCTTGCGGTGAAATCGAGAGCACCCTCACATCAGCATAGGTCACTGACCAGAGGGGTTCAGACAATAGGAAATGAAATTTTGTTATCCAGGCACCAGGTTTTTTCTTTCTGAAATCTAACTGGACCATTTATCCCTTTGGAGCCAATGCCCAAGTCAGAGGAGGGCCCGGGAGATGTTTATTTATTGAGTGAAACATGGAGTCCAACCACAGTTTATAGAAATCTCCCGTCATGCTCAGTTTTGAGAAATTAACTCTATGTCCTTTCCAAGGCCCTTTAAATTTTACCTTATTTCTCCTAAGTAGATAAAAATCTTATTTTCCCCACAAATGGTTTCTCACAGGAACCACTTGTGGATTCTGGTAATTCTTTTCCATTTTGCTTCAGGCTTTGCAACTGAGGAGGGAGGGAGCAAGGCAAGCCCTAGGTTTAGAGAAAATTGAGTCCATGGATAAGGCCTTTATTACTGATTTGCTCTAGGCCCAGAGAAGTAGCCATCTTGAAAATTTCTGTTTCTTGGCTTCTGTGTACTACCTACATAGAACCAATGCTATGAATATTCTGATTTCAGGGAGTTTGTATCAAGAATCAGGGTTCCCCGGGTTTGGCTTTATAAAGATCTAGGCTCAAACTCTGGCTCTTCCAATCTTCTGGCACATTACATAAACGCTTTCTGATAATCTCATTTCTGTGTTTATAAATATGTAATCACTCTATGTCATAGTGTTGTCATAAGGATTAAAGGAGGCGGTATATGTAAAGCAGCTGGTATGACACTTTGCGTTTTATGGTTAATTGTAATAAAATGTAATGGCTACGGCCCTCTCTATTGCTGGGGTAACACAGCACAAGCACAGGCCAGGGACAGTTGTGGTCTCTACCAGCCTACTCCTCATATTGTCCATATGGATGTATTAGTCAGCAGGGGCCAAGTTACGCATCAGTAATAAACATCCTTCAAATCTCAGCACCTTAACGCTACAGCCATTTATTTCTGGACCATGCAGCATTCTCTGTGGACCCAGGGATCTGTCCGGGAGGGTCATCCTCTATGTTAGCTCTGCACTCAGCTCCACCTCAGGCTGTTCTGTGAATGAGCTGTTAGCCTAAGGTTTGTTCTGCTGATAAAAATAAGTGGATAGAATAAAGGTTTTCACCTTCTGTGCTCTATGCCATAGCACAAAGAAGAAAGAAGAGTCAGCATGGTTACTAAAGGTCACCATATTCTTGGTAAGCTCCAGCTTCATATTCTAGATCAGTGATGGTGAGCCAGGCATGTGTGCCACAGCCTGCTGTGTGTTGTCCTCGAAAGCTCTGAAAGGCTCGCCACCGCTGTTCTAGATGGATTACCTCTGTGCTCTTACCTTTTGATGGTGCTTATAATTGTCCCACCCTCAGATAATGAAACTGTGGAGCCCTGCTCTTCGTGGTGGGGCCAGTGGGACTTAGAGGCCCCTGGGCTTGCTTTCTGCCAGGTCCCATAGACCCAGAAGCGAGGCCTCCCACCCATCCTCCTGTCACCCCGGCTCCTAAGTCCTGCCTTAGCTGTGCCTCAGCAGGAAACCTCAGAAGGACGACCACAGAATCAGACTGTCATTCAAGGCCAGAGAGCTCAACTTCCCACTTTGAAGTGGCCCTTGTGTGTCACCTCCACTAGACCAGATGTTCCGCCCCCACTTCCCTACCGCAGTGTCCAGCTCTCCCTACAGTTGGGAATTCCTTCCCTGAAGTCAAAGGCATGCAGTGTCTTCAGGTCATCAAGTTGGAATCTGATAGACTGAAGGAACCAAAGTGGCCGTCTTTGTGGTACCAATCCTCATAGCACTGACAAGAGGCTGCTGATCCAGCAAAGGACAGGAGGCACAAGGGCAGATCTGTTAAATTGTGTGTAAATGGTCTTTTTCCTGTGAAATCTCAATACCTCCCTGAGGACATTACAGTCAGGTTAGAGCCACTCACTCCTGGTATTTACTTGTTCAGGATTTTACTCAGGAGAAACCACTATAGCAACAGAACCATTTCGCCTCCACAAAGACAATGTCAAAGTCTCAAAATCCAGGACTTTTTAAGGCAGGATTCCAACCTCATTACTGCCAGGAATAAAATTCATACAAGGTGAAGCATCTTCTCTTAGAACTCAAATCCGTCTCAGAATGGCTTTTCTTTCCCCTTTGTTTTTGAAGCTAAGCAATTACTTTTTTTTAAGAAAAAAATTGCGCTAATGCACAAAACTCTTTTTTTTCACCCTTACGTTTATTTGAAATTGAACTTAAAAAGTCAGTTCTGAGCGAGCAGTATATATGAGTAATGCTTTTTGTCCATAAAAGCCCATTGACTCAAATGGAACGGGAGTGCTGATTCTCCGTCTGCTTTGTGGGAGCGTCCATAATGACAAAGTACTTGTGTCACAGTGTATAATGAAACTATAAATTGTTTTCATGAATGCTCTGAATTTGGTCTTTTACGGGGTAAATTCAAAAGGTATTTAGTGCCACATTTCACATATGTGAATAACACCAGTCAGTGCAATATATCCAGTAACAGTAGAGAGTCCTCACCGGGCTCGCCCTGGCCAGTGTGGAAGGTGACTATCACATGTGGGTGTTTCATGGTGCAGGCAGTGGCCAGAAGAAGTGATGAAGGGCAGAAGGGATGAGAAATCTGCACCCCTCGGAAGCAAAAATCTATCCAGCACGCTCTGCGATTGTTTGGGAATTCAGTTGTGGCTAAAATGCTTTGCTCCTGGCTGATGAGTGCCTGCATTTGAGTCACAGAAGTTGTACAGATCAGGGCCATTCTTGGAAGCAGATTTACAAGTGGGAAAGTCTCCTGGGTTGTGTGGGCTGGGACAATCTAGTGCTGTGAATTATGGTTCAGTTAAACTATTTTAATTACATTTTAGAATATGTTTTATTATAGAAGCCATATGGGTTTATCCCTGAAAAATTAGAAAATACAGAAAAACAAAGCAAACTGGAAAAACTGGGGTTTTAAAATTGGGAATGGTGACACACTCCTGTAATCCCAGCACTCAGGAGGCTGAGGCAGGAGGATTGAGAGTTCAAGACCAGCCTGGGCTACATAGTGAGTTTCAGGCTAGCTTCAAACACAGAGTGAGACTTTGTCTCAGAAACAAAAACAAGCCAAAAATAAAAATACAAACATGGGAAACAAATTTAATATCAAGAGATCATTATTAGCAATATTTTTTGCAAAATTCTTATCAAATATCTTTATGTATATCACTTTGTAAAATTTTACATAATCTGATCTGGATTTAAACACTCTTTTTAAACAAAACTAGAACTCAGCTGTTTATTTGCCTATGTATTTAAAAAAAATCCTGCTTTTAAAGTTATTTCCATTTAAGTTATTTTATCTTTCCGGTCTCTGTAAGTTTCTGAATGTCCAATGAGGACCCAGGCCAGGCACCGCAGCAGCCTGTATACACTTATGTCCCTCATTGGCAAACGTCCCTGGAGATGTGATCCCTAAAAATGAAAGGGGCGGGTGGGCCAGGGGCAGCGTGTGTTAAACAGAGCCCTGCAGGCCTCTCCTGAGCGGCCGGTGTGTTTGCTTGGCAGTACCTGGTGTGCAAGAGGAAGCTGGAGAGTAAGAAGGAGGCGCTGCTCATCCTGTCCAAGGAGCTGGACACCTGCCAGCAGGAGCGGGACCAGTTCAAGCTCATGGCCAATCAGCTGCGCGAACGCCACCAGTCCCTGAAGAAAAAGTACCGCGAGCTGATCGTAAGTACCAGGCCACGGTGACGTCCCTGTGCCCTCTGTGCGGGCAGAAAGAGGGGGACTTCACAGCTCATTCCTTCAAAAACGATGGCATTCAAGCGGTACAAACGTGTAGTTAGGAAGCGAAGGTCACCGCCCTGTGTCCTCCACCACCCAGCCCCCTCCCAGTGGACATGAAAGCTTCCAGATCGTTGCTTAGCGCCTGCAAACACGCGCGCATGGCTGTGCGTCCATGGTTGGCAGCTTCCTTATCATGAATCAATATGCACTTTTAAAAAGATGATTTTAAAGGAGGATCATATTCTAAAATCTGTGAATACAGAGACCCCCCCCCCAGCTACACGTGCTATTTAAATTTAATTATAAAATTTAAACAGCTACACAGTTCCACGTTCCACATTTCATGGGCTCTGTAGCTGCAGGTGGCTGCTACCCTGGGAGCTGACTAGGACATTTCCATCATTGCAGAGCGTCCAACTGGGACTGGGCAGCCTTGCATGCCTTGTCCTCAAAGATGCTCTTTTGTACATGACTGTTTTTGGACAGCTTTCTGGGCCGCTTGCACAGATTTAATACATTCTGAGACATCTGGATCCATAATTTTTATAATCTTCTCCTTTCGAGGGGCCTTTTGGTTTTCCCTATGTTTCTTTGGTATGATGCTGCAAACCCTGAAGCAAAGCACACCAGTGGTCCAGTGCTTTGCTCACCCTTGCCTTGTTCCTCATGGGTGCAGTCTCTCTTTTAAGTGCAAATGCTATTGCTAGTGTTTCACCTTTGGGCCTGGCTCACTGAACTGCCCTGGAGTAGAGACAGAATAGAAAAATCTTTGAGTAAATGTAGACCCATGTACAACAGCATCTGTAAGGGGGTGCCTTGCGTATTCTCCTAAGGAATTTGTATTCTCAGATGCTGCCAAAGGGAGAGGAAGTCAGCCATCAGTGGTAAAAATCCCAACAGGATTGGAAGTTATCAGTTAATTTGCTTTTATTTTGAGCAAATTCTATCTCCCTCCCACTGTTTCACCCTAGAGAATATCAGGCACTGTTCTTTTGGTTTTACTTAAAAGAACTCAGGCCAAATTAAATATTATGTCAGTTTATAACTTCCTCAAAACTTACTTTGAAAAACCTTCAGGGTTTTTTTTTTTTTTTTTTTTTTTTTAGCTCACATAGTTTTAGAAAATATGTAAGACTGGCCTTAATTCAAGCTGATTTCCTAAAGACTTTTCTAAAATAATTCTGGTTAATAGTTATTTTTTTTTAAAGTATAGCTGAGCTTGGTTGTGCTGGTTGCCTGGTGATAAGATTGGGTCTGAATTCAGGTTCATAGTTTGATTCAATTGCCTGAGTCTACACACATTAGGTATTTTTAAAGAAAGTAAAGCATATTACTTGTTTCTTTATAGGATGGAGATCCATTGCTTCCCCCTGAAAAGAGGAAGCAGGTAAGACTCACTCTGCATGTTTGATAGCTGCACATTATGATTGCTGCGGCTTTCCTACAGCTGGAAGAACTGAGGAATCAGGAACTGAGACATATGGAGCAAACTTCTTTTCACTTCCCAGCATCCTCTGTGTCTGGGAGGACTGGGTGGTAGAGACTGGAAGAGGGTCAGGTGCAGGAGCAGGAACCCAGGAAAGCCCACCGAGGTGCTGGAGGACTCCCGGGGGCTGGACCTTCCCTCACTGGAGCTCTGGGGAAGCTGAGCAGGTGGGCTGCTGTGTGGTGGGTGCATACTGCTCTGCCTTCAGGCCTTTAGATTCCTGCACTGCCGACTTTTGGAGCTGTTTCCATCAAAACTTGGAAGTCATTTATTTTTTTCTAATGATATCAATCATACTTATTGACTAATTTATTTCCTCACTTCCCTACATATCTATGCATCTGTGTCTGGGCTTCTGATCTGTTCCATGGAGCTTCCCAAATAGTTCTGTACCATATTGTTCTAATTGCTTCTGCTTTACAATACTGCGTGTGTGTGTGTGTGTGTGTGCGTGTGTGCCTGTGTGTGTAGCAGTACTGGAAATCAAAACCGAGGCCTAATACTGAGCTACATTCCCAGCCCTTTCCTTCATTCTCCCTCCCTCCCTCCCTCCCTCCCTCCCTCCCTCCCTCCCTCCCTCCCTCACAGAGTCTGGCTAAGTTGTCCAGGTGGCTTGGAACTTACAATCCCCTTGCCTCGGCCCCCAAGTTTCTGGAGTTGTAGGCATACACCAACACACCTTGCACTTTAGAGTACTTTTGATTTCTGGTTGAGTTAGTCTCTTTCCCTTTGCTCTTTCTTTCAGATGTTTTTTGTTTGTTACTGTTTCCAGATAAAACTGAAAAACATTTTACCAAGTCTTTCTCTGATCCCACGAACAAATCCTACTGGGGTTTTATTAAGTTTGTTTCATTAAGTTGATAAAAGGGAGCATCAAAATTTGTTAGATGATGAAAGTGAGCATCTGAATCTGTTAAATTTATTTTGACCTTTGATGCTGATGAATAGCAAATTTGTTAAAGTTGTTACTTTATAGATGAGTTTGGTCTCTCTCATAATGTATGAAAGGGTACTCTATAAAGGTGCCTTTGTAGAGCTTTCCTTAACTTCACAATTACTTTGACATGCCTTGATTTCTAAGGTTTTAGTGTGCTGAAGGTGAGCCAGGTGGTGGAAGTGTTAATAGTGGTTAATTGGCAAATCAAATTGGATGAGAACTGAATCAAATTTCCCCATGAGGTCAACACTGAACCTAACCATTGAATTTGATTTGATTCACTACCAATTTGGTTAGTGACTGTAATCATGGAATGAATGAAGTTCATGAACGGAAGCACCAATGTACAAATAAGGACATAGGAGCCGTCTGCCTGTTCATAGCTGTGTGGGTTACCCCACTTCCTGGGTTCCCCTGTGATGTCGGGGGACATCCTGCTCCTTGATGATGTACTGGGCACCCACAGGTAACATGCATGGGTTGTTTTCTTTGAGACTTTTGATGCTGGTGTACAGTGTTCCCATCACACACACATACACACACACGTGTACACACACACGACTTGTATCTATAAACAGCAACTCAGTGCCCGGGTCACCTCTGCAGCCATTGAAGCCTGCTTGCTTCCATGTTGCCTACTGACTTATGCAATTAGCTTAAAATGTCCTACTTCTGCTCTAAAGTCTAATTTTTTTATGGAGCTAATTCATGTTTTTTTCTAAACAAAATTACATGAAAATTTATCAGTACTGTTTAAAAACTAGAATCCTTCCTCTTGAATGTGGGGTGTTTTTGATGGTTATAAGCAGTCATTTTTGCTGCAATTTTAGAGTTTGTTAGCATTCATGAAGGAGTTTTACAGTTTTAAGTGAATTCATATTCTGCGACTTTATAATAAAAAATTTACATCGACTGAGGAGAATCTGATGAATTCCACCAAGTCTGTCAAGCGGTGTTGTTACAGTTCTGAAAATGCAAGTCAAGGACCTAAATACTGGTGATGTAGCTTTTAATGCAGCGTTTAGTTTCTGTTCTTTTAGGATTTAGTATGGTGGGGGGAGCTGGGTTTATGCAGCCAGCCTCAGTTGGCATCACTGACTCACTGGATGACACAGGGTGTTTGGGGGATACAGGTGACAGAAATCAAAAGCTGTGCGACCAGTAAAGGAACCCACTGCCTTGCATAACCAGAAGTCCCAGGTTTTATGTGATCAGAAAGTTTTCATGTACTTATTTTTCCCACTCTGTGACACTTAGGAAATAAAAATACAGGACACTCAGGTAAACTTGGACTTTGATAGCCAGTCAAAACTTTGTTAATGTAAGACTGTGTCCCATGCAATGTTGGGGCCATACTCACACTGAAGTATTCCCACTGTTTATCTGAATTGGTATTCAGCGGGTCATCATGCGTTTTACCTGACAGCTCTACCTTTGTGCCAACTGTCATGTCGGCTTCCTCTTGTGCTTATCATCAGCCTTTGTCGATGGCTGATTCTTCTACACTGGAGAGATCAAAATCCCAGCCCTGACATACAAGCTGTTCCCTGCAGCTGCTTGACCAGTGTGGGACGTATGCCCATTTCTAGTTTAAGGAACTTTGAAGGAGAGTACTCATGCCTATTGGCTTAGACTGTTATTCTGGAGGGAAAAGCTGTTAAGGGTCATCGTGACACCTTCTAAACTAACTGTATGGCCTGAGGAGCTCTCCTTTGGGTGTCCAAGTCTCAGCTTTCTCATCCACACAATGGAAATAAACATGGTATCCATGACATAGAGAGGATGTAAGGTGTGTGTAAGGATCCTTTCCATTGCACTTGGAACTCGAAGTAGCTTGGGTCATGGAGCAGATTTCCGGTTCATAGGAGCACAGGAATTGGTTGAGCAGCTCCGTGTGAGCAGAAATGCAACTTGCATTTCTTGGGTAGGCACAACCAAGGCTCCGCTGCCCCCATTGTCTGCTCTGCACTCAGGTGCTCATTATAGATGATTTTAGTGACTCTGCTTTGTTCTCAGATTATTGATGTGGCAGCCAACTCCCCTGGAGCTATAGACTCTGCCCAGTGGTCACTGGGCCTCTGGGGTGAATACCAACAGTTAGGCTCAGGCCAGGCCACATCAGGGCCCGGAAGGCTTGGGTGGGCTTCCTGTAGGTACAGGTGGCTCCTGGTATTGCCTTGTAAAGGAAACGGGGCAGACAGTGCCACAAACCATATTAAACATGCTTGCTCTGGAGGGCCCCAGAGTGATCTATAATACAGACCACATATACTACTACATATAATACTTCTCCTTTTTTTGGCAGCACTGGGAATTGAACCCAGGGACTTTTCACTGAGCTACAGCGTCAAACAGGCTTTTTGTTGTTGTTGTTGTTGTTTCCATTTTAATACAGGGTTTTGCTAAGTTGTTAAATTGGCCAGACTGGTTCTGCCTCTGGTTCCCAAGAGTGCTGAGATTATAGGCGTGTGCCACCAGATGCCTGTTCCACAGCCAGTTCCACAGCCAGTGGTATTAAGGGTTCAAGTTTACCATGAGCTTTGCAGTAGATGGTCTCATTCACTTCCCAGCCAGCCATGAGAGGTGGGTCCTGGTATCATCAGGGTGATCTATGCAGGGGTAACGGGGGCTTATGGAGGTCCAGACAGTTGGCCACGAGAGGCAGTGTAGGTACCGGCTCAGACTCCATAGCCCTCTTGGAGCTCCTGCTGACAACTTCAAAGACTCAGTGAGCCCTTACTGTGCACCCTATGTGGATCCAATGCCATCTTTTTTCACTGCTGGGGATTGAATCCAGGGCCTCACACACGTTAGGCAAGTGCTCTGTCACTCAGCTACACCCCCAACCTACTTATTTATTTACTTGTTTATTTATTTAATTTTTTTGAGACAAGATCTTGTTACATTTTCCAGGCTGCCCTTGAACTTTTGAATTCTCCTTCCTCAGTCTCCCAAAAAGCTGGAGTTATGGATGTGTACTTCCCAGTCCTCATTTAGACAAGAGGGACACAGGAATGAGCAGAGTGTGACCTGAACCCCTGAACTAATTGAAGTGGTGCTGTAGTTAAGGTGAACACCCATATCTCTCCTAAGGCGATCTCATTTATACCTCTTATCTTGGCATCAAATTTTATTAGTGTACCTTTCACTTCCCAAGGCGTCTCGGTTCAGATGATCAATAATATAGTCATCTTATTTCTAGTTGGGATGCCATAAATAGTCAACAATATCATTAAAGTATATAGGATGTAAAATGGTCCTCAGTGCAAATGCAGGCCAAGGTTAGAGAGGGAATTCTGGCTAAGTAATGGGAGCAATGTCTTGATAAAGACTGGGGGAACACAGTTCTAGAATTAGAAGAAAAGCAGGTTCTTGTCCCTTTGGAATATGTTAAAGTTGTGTTGCTACTGGCTCATTTGTAGTTGGCTGGGCATGTGACTAGTCTTTGGAAGGTAGGTGGTTGGTCCAGGGTGGGAAGGAAACGTCACATGCCACATTTAGGGGCTGGGTACCATGCAGCTTTCCCTTCAGCAGCTTAGGAGTCCGTGTGTGGGGAGTAAGGGAGAAGGAGAGGAGGCACAGGTGTTTTTGAAACTGCTCCGTCATCTGCGAGGGGGTGGCAGCACGCAACCTCCCCTGTGTGCCTTAAGGAACTTGCCATGTTGATGGCAGGGTGAGCCAGGGGGTGGAGTATTTACCCTCCCACTGCAGAGCAAGCACACATTGTACAAGTGGAAGCAGGGCGCCACTGCCAGGTCAGCAGATGTGACTCAGAGGTCACACGGTGTGTGGACTGGAAGCCACTGCACATCTTGCTGCCCGTCGTCCTTGAAGCTTTCTGTTCATTAGCTGAGAAGGTGAAACTCGGTGACCTCTTACTGGGCTTCTGTCTGTTCGATTCTCTCCACTGTCTTCCGAGGTCACAGTAGTTAGTTTGTCTTCCAGGAAGTTGCCAGGCAGCACA